TCAAAACTCACTGAGGAAATACGGGTATCAGTTTTTAGCAGGAAATAATTTACATCGTTGTAATCAGGACCTCAAGGAAGGACTACTTATGGTCGAACATTTCACAATGATTCGCGATCGGGCCTTAAGCCAGACTTGTTTCCCCATTCCCATTTGTATCCATTTTGGAGATTTCAAAAGAGTCTCATATCAAATACCTATTAACATCGATTTATATATCATCTCACACTTTCCACTTATTTGGAAATCAAGATCCACCATTTTCAATTACTTCAGAAAAAAATGTACAAATTTTTGTTGTTTGTGTTTGTATTAAATAAAAATCTTTCATTTAATTCATTCCATTGTAGAGTGCACTTTTGTTTTACACAAAATTATAATTTTATCACTGTATCTCCACCATCATTAAGGGTTCACACTCTAACAAAAATATATATAATATATATCCAAAAATATTTTGGATATCTGGTGAGTTGGATAAGATGTTGTTGATTGTTGGAAATATAAAACACACAGCAGCAGAAGTACACCACGATGTAGTAGAACCAAGAGAAAGTGAGAACATTTACTTCTTCTTGGATACACCGACAGTGCGACCACGACGACCGGTTGTCTTGGTGTGTTGACCACGGACACGGAGACCCCAGTAGTGACGGAGACCACGGTGAGAGCGGATCTTCTTCAAACGTTCCAAATCGTCACGCAATTTGGAATCCAAATTGGAGGAGGTCAATTGATTGTATTTACCATCAATGATATCCTTTTGTCTGTTCAAGAACCAGTTGGGAACTTTGTAGTGCAATGGGTTGGAGATGATGGTGACGATCTTCTCAACCTACAAAAGAAAAACAACAACAACAAAGAGATTAGTAAACAATGTTGTGATGGCGAAGTTTTCCACAAACTTACCTCCTCTTCGGTACATTCACCGGCACGTTTGGTCAAATCAATATCGGCCTTCTTCAACACAATGTTGGAGTAACGGCGACCGACACCCTTAATTACGGTCATGGCAATACCAACTTTGCGTTTACCATCAATGTTGGAATTCATGATACGCAAGATGTGTTGGAACTTTTCTGGTACGACGAGCGACTATGGGGGATACACAAAAGAAAAAACACATTATTATTTTTATTTATTCAAGTTTGATTCCAAACAATATAAGCATCATTATACATAAAAACACCAACAACAAATTTAACATATCCTTCTCAAATCATTGTTTTTGCCACTATAATTTTCCATTACTCATATCGTATTTGAAATTTTTAATTTTCTTTTAAAATTCTTTCACAATTCATTACTTTGCTACGTTTGGGGGCATTTTTCATTTGGATTTTTGCATTTGTTGTGGGATGTTTTGCATATTTTTCGATTTTTTTCACACACGTACCATTTTGCCCTTTTGATAGCGACCGATTTTAAGCCGAAAAAGACGGAAAAACGGATGTCGACCAAACGTCAAACTTTGACAGTGACAGCTTCGACAGCGGCATCTGGTTGTGAGTATTGAAATCACATTTTGAGTGTTGGAAAATGACGGAATAAAGTGGTTATTGTATTCCGATATAGATGACGCAACTATAAATCTGTTTATTAGGCGAGCGTTTACATCTGAAATATTTACAATATTTAACTTAGATAGAAAATAAAATGTTGTTTGAGTGAAAATAAGCCGGTAGGTGTATATACATCAAATCGGGTTTAATAAAAGCACATCAGTTACATTGTCAGTTTCCTTCACTAAACGACAAATGGTGTATTTCGTAAAACGCAAAAGAAAAACAAAAAAAAGATTTATAATTATAATTTCAGTCATTTAAATTGAAGCCCCCCTTGATATTCTCATGATAAAATTGGTATATTTTAGGGTAGCCATGGTACAAAAACAAGTGAAGACGTCGTTATGTTCGTCCGGCCCCATTTTTTTTATACCCTACACAATGAGGTGTACATTCAAGAGATTTGAAATCCTATGAGAATTCAAAAATAATATTCGGTTAAAAATGTACCCAAACTCCCCAACATGTAAAAAAAAAAACGTGGACCCATGGTATAATAATACAAGGTAGGGCAGCTTGAGGTGAGTAACAAAAAAGCAACTATGCACGTGTGGTTCTTCTGCCAAAAATAAAATAAATATACGCAACAAGTGTTTGTGTTTATTTGACAGTTTTTCAACACAAAACTAATAACGCGAAAAATGAATGAAAGGTTATGATTTCTTCCCAAATCCAATAGGGAATACCATTAAATTTTTCTTTCATCCACAACAAAGTAATTACTTCCAGACGATCGTGTTATAAACATCATTTTCATTTCAATTAAATTTGAATATATTTCAATTTATTTTGAATTTATTTGACATAGTATTCAAAACAATACACGCACATACACAAAATATGTATTTTGATTTGATGGAACAAGCCACCTTGAGAAAAAATTTTAATCAGTTGGTAGCTGTGCCCTACCTTGTAATAATTATACCATGCGTGGACCTATGTTGATGATTTATGGTAGGAAGGTTTATAACCCAATAAAAACTCAAAGTATGAAATTAGAACCAACTCAGTTGAAATATATCCAAAAATTTCTTCAAAATATCGAATAATTGGGGTTTCCCGAAGTTTCCAAAATATGGTTGAAAAACGTGCACAGAATACCAAAATTGATTTTTTTTTAAATAATTGAAATATTGGGAAGTACCATTATATAGGGGCTACCCAAAAAAATTGGCCAATATTCATAATTGGCACCCAATGAAAACACAAAATATAAAACTAACGTTAATATGGTTATAAAATGAGCCCAAAAACTTCAAAATACCGAAAAATGGGGAGTATCGTTTAATGGAGTATATTCTGAAACTTGGACCAATATATTTCTACACAATGTGAATCCAAGATATCAAACTTATTTGAAAATCAGTTAGCGGAGCAGTATAGTCGGACGGATCCGACCATTTGATACCCTACACAACTACCACGTAGCTTTAAGTTCCTGCGGATTTATATTCCGAGCTTGGGAAATATTTCGCGATAATTGCACTATCAACAGAGGTCAACAGCTCCTCTTTTCCGTAGTAAAAATATACTCCATTAAAGTGTTTTAATTAAAGAAACTCGACCTCAAATGTCAATTTCATAGCGTATACGTCAAATATAATTCACAGGATAACGTGACGTATTCCCTATGGAATTGACGTTTGAAATCGAGTGTCTAATACGCCATTTACATTAGAACTTTCTACCGGGTTAAGCTACATTATGAGGATTTATTTGACATATATTCAAAGGAATTGACAATTAAAACCACTGGGTTAACCAAATCTGGTACAATGTAAATGTACTTTAAACGCGCTCTAAGATTAAACTTTTGTTGTTTTACAGAAAAAAGTTTTGGTTCATTTGACTCGCTAAGTATTGACCATTATATTGACAGCCATTAAATTAGTTGGTTAGATCACCTTCCAGGGACCCTCATGAACAATTTACTATCCATAAGCGCTACATTTCTGCCCTCTAGTCTGGTAATGGTAATAATAAACAGTATTAGATTATCTCAGTAAAACACAATTTAAAAGTCAACACTCCCCATGTATATACAATCAACTTATCGGTTCTACGTCTTTCAGGAGTAAATATATACGACATCGAATACAAATTTTGTCATTTTTCGCACTTAACCAAAGCAGTCATGCTTACTATATTTTGAGACCCCTTTCTCTTTTTGGTCCGTTTCATCCCCCAAATATTAACGGGCCATTACCAGTCTTCTTGGCCAGAACCGGTCCTATATGCAAAATTTCGTGAAAACTGGTCCATAACTTTATAAACTATAAACACGAGATATGATCGGTATATTAAAAGGTGGGTCTAGAATCACAGTTCAAATTAGCTGTAGTAAAGGACTACTACTACAGATAAACATCAGATCTGTCTGACATACATCTGTTTGTCTAGAAATTCAGGTTCAGGGTTGTACCTTTGAACCTCTCTCTAGATTATGAAGATTTCCCCTAACAGTCCTAGATGGGGCAAGTCTTTTTATAACGCTTTGTCAGAGATGTTTCTCCATATCAGACTCTCCTGAAAAATTCTGATAAATATCTATTACACATTCTGATTGAGAAGCTGTTCCTTGTAAGGTGTGAGTCGATTGAAAACTTATAACACATTTTCTGCAAAATCAATTTGAGACCTGATTTCATGATCGTACAATTATCCACATTAATTAAAATATCTATGTCAACCTGGAGCTGTGAAAGGTAAACGTTGACCAGTTACGGAGAACTCCACTCCACACCTTGGGGAAGATTTTAAGATCCAATGTTTCCATTTCTGGCATTTAAAGTTTCAAACACGGCCCGCGACATCTGTTTCTATGTATGTGTTTTTAAATATAGTACATAAATTGTTTTTGTTTACATATTCTAGATCCTTTATATTTCAATTTGCCCAATAGTGGAACAGATTGCGGCTTATATTAAGTTCAGGGTCTACTTTTTTTTAATTTTTAGCTCTTGTCTCTCTGATTGCCAATATATTCTACTTTTATAGGGGAGGTTCATACTTCACGAAATATTGTACTCTAAAGTTAATGTTAATTTAAAAATACATTTTTGATAGCGAAAATTTAAGGGACATTTTGATGGCATGGCTGAATTTTCATTTGTCTATAGGTGTAAATTTTAAAACCCCTTCCGAAGGTTTTTTTTTTTAAACTACATCATGAATATTTTTACATTTGAATAATTTGCTTCATTTTTTCATCGACAAATTAGTCTTTGACTCGAATCTGTTCATTTCTCTTTGATGGGGTAAAATAGTGTTACTTCATTATATACAAAAGACTGAAATTATAAAAAAACTTTTAATTAGAATACTTGTGAGTTTTTTACTTTTAAATTCAATTTAATAAATTAGTTACACAATTATGCATGATGCTGGTCTTTAAGAGTAAGCTAATGAATACGGATTTTTTCGTTTTTTCTGCTTCTACTTAATATTAGCCACCGACTTAACACGTTCTTCCACCTTGGCTACCTCTTTGTTTATTGTTTCTAGATTCTGGGCGAAGGTTTCTTGTACCGAATGCAACAGTTCCTTGTTATAAACCAGGGAGGTGGTAATTGAGGTTTGTTTCTCTTCGATTTCAGCAATGATTTTAGCAAAGTTCATAGCTGGAAAAAGGGGAAAAGAGAAAGAACATAAATAAGAAAAAAAAAATAATAAATAAATAAAAATAATGATATTAAAACAAAAAAGAAATGAAGGTAGATGAATATGAGGGCTATACATGGAAATAAATCTTGTTTGGAGTATTTTCTGCAATTTCCTCAAAAGTGTTGCTTTGCATTAACATTATTATGATATGAGCTAGGATGAATAAATTGTAAATAGGCTTCAATGTGTAGGAGATGAATAAACAGAGTTATTTCATCCTATGTTCTTCAATATTCTGCTCCAATCTAAATATATGTCTCCAGTTACAATGTGAAGGATACCTATGGCTAAGGATTTTAACTTCAATCCATCCTTTAAGCGCCCTGAAGGGCTGATATATAATATACCTTTAAAATTGTCTCCAATGTTTGAAGTTCTTTTGTAGGATTTATCGAGAAACATATCCCTATTTTTTAACATCCCGCTCCAAACCAAATATATTGTTTAAGTAACTATTCGGTCAAGGATAGTAGCTTAATTTAATTCGGTAAACCCGCTGAAAGGTTCATATATTGTTTAATATGAAATTGCCTCCAAAGGCTCGAATTAATCTGCAGGACTTATCGATTATTCACGAAAAATTCGAACGGAAACTTGTGAATAATATTTAGACATAAATTCTAATCTGTTCTACTTTTTAAAAATTAGTTCCACTCACCATATTTATGCAATAATTCCAATGCCTGCATTCTTTCAATAATATCGGGTAGAATTTCGGCAACAGGTTCGGTACGTTTAGCAATTTCATACATTTCGACAACCTTTTGATCACGTTTAGCATCCTCGGGAGAACCACTCGACTTGGCAGCAATAGCATCCATTTTGGCACCCAAGCTACCCAAACGTTCTTCAATAACATCGATTTTCTCCGATTGTAATAAGGCTGCCTTTGTGTTAAGCTGACGCACGGCGTCCATAACATTTGTGCTTTGTGTGAGTGTTGTAAGGCGACTCAATTTTTCCGGTTGAGCACCAACAGCCTGTTCCAGTTGATGCAGACGATGTTCCAATTTGGCCACACGTGCCGACGCTGCCAAATCAGTTCCAGGTGTCGGTATAGCCGTGAGGACACCCGAATTTTTATATTCATCTACTTGATTGATCAGAGCCTTAACCTCTTTGTCGGCCTTGTTAGGTGCCTGTTCTTTACCCAATACCTGTTCCAAACGCAGTGAATCTAACACCTTCTTGGCTGTGGTAATAATGGTGGCCACAGCATCATATGATTCCTTTTCTTCTTGGACCAATTTACGATCGTTTTGCAATGCTGATACCTCTTCCAAAAGTTCATTCATTTCACACTGCAATCGACGACATTTTTGCACGGGAGTCTCCTTTTCACCCATGCCAGTTAATTCAAATTCACCCGTGGTCATATCATAGCCACGACATACACGACGTCCAATACTGTCAGAGAAATCGACATTACCCGTCAGCGTAGAGCCACGGAAACGTTTGTAAGCCTCTTGCGGGGAGATGTGCAAACGTTCAATGGACTTATTTTCCGCCTCTTCCTCGTAATAGTCTGAAGTCTCTTGTTCAGGAACATCGGGTGTTTCATAGACATCAGGTTGGTCATAAGCCTACAAAAACACAAAAAACAACAACTGTTACTAACAACAAAACAACAACATACCACTACTGCTCAGCTGGCCAACCAACCAAGCAGCCAGCCAAGTTAACTAAGCTGAAGTCATTGAGTATGACTAATTTTTGCCAAACGTAGAAAGAGGGTGGAGTGGCACAACATAAAAACTTACAATGCCTGGCAAATTTTCGAATTTTGGATCGGCCATTATGGTGGGCAACGTTTATTGATGTCTTTAAAATAATAATGATGAATTTTGATAATAACAAACAGTAGGTTTGTACCACAGAAAAAAGTTTGCAAAAAAATTATTTCTGCGGCAGTGAATGATATTCTTGGGCCTTTTTCACAGACTGAAGAATAATTGAAAAACGTTCCAACTGCTGACGAATGGGAAGAGAAACAAAATGCCCGATAAAGAATAAGTCAAAGTGGAATAAATGAAAATTTACGAATGACGTGGGATGGAGACTAAATGAGAACGGTATTGTTTACAACACATACACTCACAACAACTGCAGTCAGAGAACCGAGCCATAATGTGTGACGGCGTTGACAACGCAGAAGTTTGCTGACGTAAAACGATCAGCTGTTTAAGGTGTGACAATTTAAAAATTGGGGTTTGGAATGTAATTGATTGCTAATTAAATTGCAAAATCGATTTTGATCGATTGATATAAATATCAAACACCATCGCTTTGCTATGTGTGTTGTCATCAACGTCTAGTGGCTGTGTTATCAGCTGTTGTGAATGAAAGAAGTAAGACTTAAATGATGACGTGAGGCAGATGTATTGACACAATGCTCTGGAATAGGATTGGGATATGAAAGGAATCCGAATTTGTTATAAGATTGCATTCAAATGGAATGTGTTTTTATAAATTATGACTCATGGGAAATTAAATAGTATATAACGGGAATAGACCAGTTGATGTGAATAACAAAAAAGTAGGTAGTGGCTTTTTCTGTCAAATATAAAATAAGAATACGCAACAGGTTGTTGTATTTATTTCACATTTTTCAACATATAAGTAAAAATGTGAAAACTTAAAGTTATAAATTCTTCTCAAAGTCGTGTAGGGATAGAACAAGTAGCTATACCCTACCTAGTAATAATTATACCATGTTTGCTACTAGAATAAAACAGATAGAAAACTTGCTAAGTTTTGTTTGCAGAAGAAAATTGTTATTATTCTTTAAGGGTTGATTAGCTAACAATTTACGCCGAGGTCTCTGATGTCAGAAAATGTTTAGATTTTTCTCATATTAGATTAGAAAATGAACCAATTGAAGGTCCTCGACTTTTCTCCTCCGTTCGAAGGTTACCTTGAGCCTTGCAATATCATTCTACAGTTTTTTGAGAACAACCACACACGGTAATCGTGCTCATACTCTCGAAGAACCGTTGCACGAGTTAACTGCTCTCTGGTATTTTTTTATTATATTTTTCTGATATTATATTAATAAATAAACCGATTACTCCTTGAATTACTGAACATTCGTCACAATTTCTTTTTAGAATATCTACTAAAATTTCTCTTTCTTTGCAAATATCCATGGACCCCCTTGAAGGTTCGAGAGTTTTCTCCTGCCAACATTATTTGATAGTTTTTTGAGAATTACCACACAAAAAATTGTCGGTAATCGTGCTCATGCCCTCGATAAACCGGTTGCAAAAGTTAACTGCTGTCTGGTAGATTTTTCAGATATTAGATTAGAAAATTAACCGTTTACTTTCTCAAATACTGAACAGACATTCGTTACAATTTCGTTTTAGAATATTTGTTCAAATTCCTACCATTTATTGCGAAAATCCGTCCATATAACAACAAATAAGTTGTCGGTAATCGTGCTCATGTTCTCGATGACCCGTTTGCAGAAGTAAACTGCTCTCTCGATGATCTTTTTCTTGGAGGTTTCCACATAATTGAAACATTTGGTGGTTGTTATGGCAACTATCTATGTACATATTTCTTGTATTTTCATTTGGCCTGGTTCTGACTTCTCTGTTTCCAGGTTTACAAAATGTGCAATCTGATTCGGCTGCGCCCAAAGAAATTCCAGAGACAGATGAATAGATTTAGTTGGGCAATTGTGGTGTCCCAGTCTACATCCATGGCATGGGTCTGATATCGTCCTGTCGATTCGGACCCAATACGAATTGAGGCGATTTGAATGATATTAATTCCATTTGATGGTTGCTTGCGTTGATGGGTCGTTCATTGTTCAACAGCATCACCAAATTCACTGGCCTTTTGCTTTGGAAGCTTCCATTTGGCACTGACCGCCATGCAATTGGGATATCCACCTCCGCCAAGATTGACGTCGTCTCTTTTCACCTTTCATGATTAACTTTGATTTGGAAAAGTCCATAGCGTCATCCTCGTCCGTCAAGAGTGAATCATCAAAAATATGTATCTCCAGGCTCGAGTTTACATATGTCGAGAGGGCTTAACGACGTGTTTTTTTCTAAAGTTTCCATTGGAGTTTGATAAAGATTTGAGGTCGACCATGGTATAGCCTTAGTCCTGATTTAGAATAGGCGAGTTTACTTGCGGCAATTCGTATTGTTATCTTTTGAACTTGCTTCATGCGTGTATACAAGGCAAGTCGGTTTCCCAAATTATTTTTTTTTTTAACATTTTGTGACAATGTTCTGGATTGGTATTTCAAATTTCTGACACTACAAACAAAATACACAAAACGATTTTTCAATTTCTATTCTCCTTGCCCCTCTCTCCAACAAAGAAAGACTTGCCGCAAGTAAAATCGCCTAATATAAATTAGGACCTATACCACGATAAGGACTTAACAACTAAAATGACATTTATATTAGAACTTTTTCCGGGTTATTGAAATTGACAATTTAAACACACTGGGTTAACGAAGTCCGGTGTAAATGAATAAAGGAGAACGGCGCCCAATTTATAAATTGATATTTTATACAACTCATACTTAACATGCCATGCTTGAATCATGTGTTTTCCCTTGACTACCAGCCGTAAAACCCAGATGTGCACGAGGTTGTCCGGCTTAAGGGATGCCACTTTAAGAAGGAGGTGACCTAAGATCTGGGTGTTGGGATATTTAAGGGCACCAATCTCGTCTCGTAAATCTTTGCATTGCAAGTTTCGCAACTACCCAATATTGAACGATTTTCCGGTCAAACGTACAAAATTTGGTCCGAATTATTTATTTATTTTTCTCGATTTATGGATATAACCTTCGAAAACATTTAGACTTGTGTAATAAATATTCGATATTTATACCCTTCACCACACTGTGGTACAGGGTATTATGTCTTTGTGCATATGTTTGTAACAGGCAAAAGGAAACGAGATAGACACATGGTTCCTTTTGAGAATATGCATAGAATCACTTTCTAAGTCGATTTATGCATGTCCGTCCGTCCGTCTGTCTGTCCATGTTAAATTGTAAACAAAGTACAGGTCGCATTTATGATCCGAATTGGATGAAATTTGGCATAGGTCACTTATTCGGCCCAAGGACGAATCCTATTGAAATTGGGAAAAATCGGTTCAGATTTAGATATAGCTCCCATATATATATATATTTAACCGATTTAATGCAAACGGTCCCTATATATCTTTCGATTTGCACGAAATTTGGTGCAGCCTAATCATTTAGATCTAGAATGATGTCTGCCAAGTTTCGTAAAAATCGGTCCAGATTTAGATATAGCTCCCATATATAGTTTCGTCCGATTTCAGGTAAATGATGCCCCAAAGTCCCTATATATCTTTCGATTTGCACGAAATTTGGCATAACGTACTGACTTGAGCCTATAATGATGTCTGCCAACTTTCGAGAAAATCGGTCCAGATTTAGATATAGCTCCCATATATAGTTTCGTCCGATTTCATGTAAATGGTGCACCAAAGTCCCTATATATCCTTCGATTTGCACGAAATTTGGGATAACGTACTTAATTGAGCCTAGAATGATGTCTGCCAAGTTTCATATAGTTGCGTTTTCTAGAACTACAGACATAGCCCAACGGATGACCTATTTATATTTGCTTGAAGTCGATTTACATACTTTATGGATAGATCTAGGTAGATTCACTTTTAAATAAACATCACATATTTTATTTCATCCAATTTCATGCTAATGGTCCTGTTTAATATACCCATAGTGGTGAAGGGTCATATAGTCGGCCCCGTCCGACTTTACTACTTTCCTTACTGGTTTCAAAATATTGGATCAAACATTAGAAGTTGTGCCCGATTTTCGGATTCACAAATTCTTTTCTTACAAATTTCGAATATTTCTTCAATTTTTTCCGAAGTTGTTATCAACAACAATTACAGGGCGATTAATAGAAACAGGGTGATTTGTGTGTGTATTTCCTAAAAGGGTGACAATCATTCTTAGTGAAGACAATCACCTTTAGTGAAAACATGCTAATGGCGTGTTTATTTTCATTCCCTCAACCATATAGAGAAAATATTCGTCGGAGACGCCATAAAGAAGATACAGTCGAACTTCATTATATTTTAAATTTAATATTTCGTTTAATATTTCGAATTTTTTTGCAGGAAATCATCAATGTAGGTCCATGTTTCCATATGCAAGTGGCGCCCAATATAATGTATTGTGATGTTCGAAGGCGCATTTTCTAACCGTTGTAGCTGTCATTCCGAGGCTGTCATTGGATAGTCGAACACATACATGTAGAAAATGTTAAAAATATTTGTATGTTTTGGCATAGCCCTTATATAGCGGAACACTCCCCATTTTTGGGAGTTTTAAGGTTTTCCAAGCGAAGTAAATGAATTTTGGTATTCTGAATTATGTCTCTTACGCACTAGAATATATAGGTTAAGATTTATTTTTGTTCGTAATTCTTAAGGAAAATATAAAAATAAAGAAAATCAGTGTAGCACAAACAATCGTAGTATAACAGCTCTCTCTCCGCGAAACAGTCCCTGTTCCATCTTATTTTTCTTAGAGGTCCTAGGTGCCTTTTCTTAAACCTGCTTCATGGTGTTTAAAAAACCTATTCTCCAAAAATGCCTCCAAATTCCTAAGAGCATTTTCTAAACTTCACTTTGGCCAACCGGCTTCTTGATGGTTAAAAAAAAATTATTATATAATTATTGAAAATTATTACACATTGGATCTATGATTTGCCATAGCCTCCATAGTAAATAAAGCCTTACGTATTTAGGCTACTCTCATTTTCGCGGAATATTTTCTATAAAGGTCCTGGATAATTTTAAGTTTTTTTATTATTCCTAGATACAC